TATATATGTGTGTGTGAGATATATACACGTCGATGGACGAGGGTTCCAGGTCTATGACGTCTAACTAGCTGGCGAATATAATCCACGGTAGTGGGTGGTTCGAGGGTTTTCCTGCGAGGATGTTCTAGGGGGCATAAACTTCTGCGCGACCAGAAAGTCGAGAAATTGTCGCCGAACGTCGTGTGCTGTGTGTTGGTGTCGACGGTCGTGTGGTGTATGTAAACGTTTCGTGAGTGCGATTGTACAGAACCTGTCCCGGGCGCAAGTTTTGGGGTCCGCGCAGGTCGGATTGAAATGGCAGAGTCGACCCTTTGGTATATTAATGTTAATATGGCAGACTGTGAGTCATACGTGTGCGAGGAAGGGGTGCAGCTTTAATGGCGTGAACATACTGCGTTGTGACGGGAGAGCAGCGTGTTTTCGTATTGAAGTACCAAATCTGAAAGTAGATTTGAGTTTGGGTGTAGATTAGATTGCAATGTTCTCACAGTAGGTATATCGCGATGGGATATAGCGTCGGCGATAGTGTTGAATTTACCCGAGAGGTGTGTGCAGATCATTTTGCATTTGTATCTCGTATCGATTTTGGGGAGGAACTGAAGGAGATCTAACATCTTTGGGATGTTGGAAGATCGCGACTTGATATCTGCGACTGCAGTTTGATTGTCGCAGCAGATTGTAACAGAGTGTCCGCGAATGCCGTCGCCTAGAATAGCGAGCATGTAAACACCCATCATTAGCTCTAGGGCACATATGAAATATGGTTCTGGTTCTGTGTGAGATGACTGGGTGATGGAATTGAGTTTCGCACCCCGCAAGGTGTGGTGCGGTTGACAGTCAGTGTAAAATCAGAGCCCGCCTGAGCTGTAGTCTCATCCACCCAACGTGCTGGATGCATCGGTAACCATGAGCTCACTGAGTAGTAATGTACGCATAAGGGAAGTGCCTGACCAGGTTGTTGGTATGGGGTGGAGCGAGTCACGAAACCCACTCAGCAACATACCACTAGGTTTTCCAATTGGCCGGTCAGATGATCTGTCTCACAACTATCTTGTTACAAGTCCGTCTATACAGTCAATGCCTCTTCTGGCTATTACCAG